TGTAACCAGCTTGTGTTGTTGCTAGGGCGATGGCAAGAAAACAACAAAATGAGGATGATTACATGGACCTTTCTGCCACTTTCCTTGGCGACATTGAAGGTCCCTGTAGCTCAGAAAAGGCCATAGTAAAACCATTTAGTACTAACAAGAATGTAATTATGCCATGGCCAGATGTGAACAGCCATTCATTAGACAGAAGAAAATTTGTGGAAGAACAAAATAAAGACCCTGAGGTTCTTCAGCTCTGCAAGAGGGCTCAACCACAGGAGGAAGCAGACAAAGTGGTCAAATGCTACTACAATCAAGACGGCATTTTAATGAGGAAATGGAGGTCACCTATTGCTATCCCAGAGAAGGAATGGAGAGTGGTAAAACCAAGTGGTGGTGCCTTAAGTTTATAGGCAAGAAATTATTGGTCTTGCCCATGACACCCCCTTGGCTGGACATTTAGGTATAAGGAAGACTTGCCTTAAAATCTTGCAACATTTGTACTGGCCCAGACTTAGAAATGATGTCACAGAATACTGCAAATCATGCCACATATGCCAGGTTGTCGGTAAGCCTAACCAGAAAATACTACCAGCACCACTTCTGCCAATTCCAGCCTTTGAAAAACCTTTCAGCAGAGTACTAATTGACTGCGTTGGACATTTACCAAAGACCAAGACTGGCAATGCGTATTTATTGACGATCATGTGTACATCCACTCGCTTTCCTGAGGCTATTCCGTTAAGGAATATCAAAACACCAACTATTGGCAAAGCTGTTTTTAAATTTTTCACGTTAGTAGGACTTCCTAAGTCTATACAGTGCGACCAGGGTTCAAATTTCATGTCAGGTTTATTTCAGCAAGTCGTTTACCAGTTAGGGATTGCTCAGTTTAGGTCAAGTGCTTATCATCCAGAATCTCAAGGTGCCTTAGAACGTTTTCATCATACATTGAATAATATGATTAGAACTTTTTGTCTTCAATTTGACAGAGACTGGGATGATGGTGTTCACTTTCTACTTTTTGCGGTCCGAGAGGCTGTTCAAGAGTCCCTTGGTTTTAGTCCCTTTGCGTTGGTATTTGGTCATACTGTAAGGGGACCTTTGAAATTGGTTAAGGAAAAATGGTTTACTGAACACACTGACTTGAATCTTCTAGACTATGTATCTAGATTTAAAGAAAAAATGTATACTGCATGTCAAATTGCTCAGAAAAACTTAAAAACTGTTCAGAATAAGATAAAAATATGGAATGATAAAGATGCGAGGGACAGTTTTTGAGCCTGGTGATAAGATACTAGTATTTTTGCCAGTCCCTGAACATCCTTTACAGGCTAAATATTGTGGTCCTTATACAATAGAGAGTAAAATTAATGATTTGAATTATATTGTAAAAACTCCAGGTCGGCGCAAACAAAATAGAGTGTGTCATATTAATATGTTAAAACCATATTTTGAGCGTACTAATGAATGTGAGAGTAAACCAGTTGCCACTTTAGCCATTGTTAACTTGGAGAATGATCATTACAAAACAGATATAATTGAACCATCATTTGATTCAAAGACTATAGAACAAACAGAAAGGTTGAAAAATTCAGAAATTTTGTCAAATTTAGACGAAAAACTTGCACATCTGACTTTCAATCGCAGAGAAAAATTAAAATCTTTGTGTTATTTTCTTCTAAAAATCTGTTTCCAGATGTGCCAAACAAAAACCACTGCTGTTCATCATGATGTCGATGTAGGTGATGCTTCTCCAATTAAGCAATATCCTTAGCGGCTCAATCCACTAAAACTTGAATTTATGAGACAAGAAATAAAATATATGCTTGACAATGATATTGTTGAGCCGAGTAACAGTGAATGGAGCTCTCCTTGTCTCCTTGTGCCCAAACCAGATAAAACCTTTCGTTTCGTAACTGATTTCAGAAAAGTTAATTCTGTTTCAAAATCTGATTCCTCTCCGATTCCAAGGATAGACGACTGTATTGACAACATTGGGCAAGCAAAATTTGTGAGCAAATTTGATTTATTGAAAGGTTACTGTCAGTACTCTTGACACAGAGAACTCGTGAAATATCAGCTTTTGTTACACTAGACGGTTTATTTCAGTATACTGTCTTGCCGTATGGTATGAAAAGTGCTCCAGCTACATTTCAAAGAATGATCAATAATGTTATAAAAGAATTAGACTGTTGTTATGCTTATATTGATGATCTCATTCTGTGTAGTGATAGCTGGGAAGAGTATTTAACACATTTATATGCTACTTTTGATAGATTGTCACAATCAAATTTGACTGTTAATCTTGGTAAAAGTGAATTTTGTCAGGCCACTGTTGATTATTTAGGGCATACAGTTGGCCAAGGTCAAGTGAAACCTATTATGGCTAAAGTGGATGCAATTACCAAATTTCCTCCTCCTACAAATGAAAAACAACTTATTAGATATTTAGGCATGATTTGATTTTACAGGAAATTCTTTTCAAATTTTGCTACTGTTGTTCAACCATTGACTCATCTTTTACGGAAAGATTCTAAATTCATCTGGAGTGCTAATTGTCAAAACACTTTTGAAAATAGCAAATCACTTTTAAGTAACAGTCCTGTTCTGATCACTCCAGACTTTGAAAAACAATTCAAACTTGCCGTTGACGCAAGTGATGTAGGACTTGGAGCCGTTTTATATCAAGAAACAGATGATAATGTTGAGAAACCTATTTCATATTTTTCTAAGAAATTAGATAAACATCAGAAAAATTATTCAACTATTGAAAAAGAGTGTTTTGCACTGTTGTCTGCACTTCAACATGTTTATGTATATTTAAATCCCACTATGCATCCTATTCTTGTTTATACTGATCATAATCCTCTCACCTGCATACATAAAATAAGAAACAAGAACCAGAGGTTGACTAGGTGGAGTTTATTGTTACAGGAATATGATGTTATTGTGAAACATATTTAGGGTAAAGATAATGTTATAGCAGATGCTTTTTCCAGATCTTACTAAAACACTGTAAACATACGTGTACATGTACTATATATTTTTGTATATATTGTTCATGAAAAGTTCTCGTTACACTCAAACTTCTTTTAAGGGTGGAGGTGTTATGATATTGTAATTATGATATTTGTTTATCCTGGCCTAATTTGTTTTGTGTGGCCTTATAACACTAAAGTTAGACTTTCAGATTAGACATTAATAAACTGGTATTCTCAGAAATTCTCTCAGTTGGATTGACACTTTTATTTATGTTATAACGTCAAACAGAATAGTATGTCCAATAAGTCATAATCTAGTTAACTACATTATAGAAGTTTATGACTTATTGGACATACATGTAATATTTTGTTTGGATTCCCGCAACAGTGAAGAGAAAAAGTCCAGATAAAAAATAAACACAAAAGGATCGGACATATATATTTTAACAGTTAAGTTGACATTTCAATTTGTATAGTATTTGTAAACTTAGGCATAATAAATCTTGTTAAACTTTATTATTGATTTGTGTCTTTTGTTGACTACAATTTAAAGGTGATTTCTGGCCGTAACAAAGTGAACACGAAAAACGTACTTAATACCTATTTTTATATCTGTATAAGGAATCTATTTCCTATTTGTTCCCCTAAAACCCTATCATTACCTCAGCTTATATTGATATTTGTTTTTAACATTTGATATATTGACATTACCGAATTAGACTTATCTCCGAATTTGAAGTTACTATGAACAATAAAACGGATTGCACATGTATCTTATCTCTATAAAGATATCAAAGGACATTTAAATTAAATTATGGTTTAATTTATTAGGAAATTAACATTGGATAGCTTGGATAGCGTCTTTCGATCACATAAAATATCACCTTCACACAGCTGTAATAATTTTACCCAAAAACAAGAGGGACTGGGTTTGTTCTTCTCCAACTTTTTAAAATCAATTACACTGGTCTGCAGCAAAGCTTTAGCGTTTAGTTAGTTATTCATAATAATATTATTACGTATCACAGAAAAACAAATTGTAATCTCCCAATCCATTTGCCGAAAGATACTAACATAACAACAATCGAAGTGAGCACGTGAACTTTATGAAATGAATTATCTTTGTTATTACAAAAATAAAATGCGTGTTTGTGTAAAAAGGGGTCAAAATGTAACACTGGAGAGGATTTGTGTTCTACATATGTGGAACAAATAAATTTTATCTGATTATCAAAGACCGGTTGTGAAAAATGTAAGGATACACATACATACCACCCAATCGTTCACACGGACGGCAAACTATCATATTCTAGAGTAATACTCTTGACATGTCAGTAGAATTCGAAATTATATAGTTTATACAAAACAATATAAATGTACTGTGTTGATTTTAATGGGATGCAAGTTAACTTTGTCTTTTCATTTCTTACTATAGTGTGTGATAACATTTTATGAGGGAATTCGATGTTTGCTATATCACTGTTCATTTCAATGCACTTTATGACAATACCGCTATACCAATCAGCATAAAATTGTATGCAGTGTTTTAAGAAATGATTTTACATTGTGTTCAAGTATTATTTGTGAAACATTGAACGTGTTAAAAGGGCGAACTTTCTGTATAAAGTCAATATGTAGCCAAAGATAGCCAGAGAGTAATATTTCGTTGTCTTATCTTGTTATATGAATCTGTCACGCAATATACAAATCCATGATACCACGTTTAATGTATTTATTGCGCGTTTGTGTAACGGTAATGATAAAACCTAAAAATAAGATTCCACCCATATCAAAAGTTATAAAGCAATAATTTCAAAAAGCTACAAAACAAACCACCAAAAGAATGAGTGTTAATGGCAGATCCTATTTTTGTTTTGCATTTTGTAACTTGTCTTTTATTAAAGATTGTATGTTAATTGTTTTGGTGCGGTTTCTCATTGACGATCAATAACATCATTCTGATCATTAGGACAATTCTGGTAACATATTTAAAAAAAAGATGAAACATCTAAAAAACAATGTACTCACTTCAGTCTTTACTTTATATCCTTGTTTACAAAATAATCAATATAAATTCAGACACACATAATTTTGAATGAATAAAACCAACTTTAAAGTGTTTATGTGTCATACTATTGTAATTTGTAATAGTTCTTCATTGATCTGTTAAGATTTTATAAATAGACTAACAAAAGCAAAACTACAATATGAGCAAATAACCGGTTTGGATTTAAAAACAGATATCTTATCTATATAAAGATATCAAAGGACATTTAAATTAAATTATGGTTTAATTTATTAAGAAATAAACATTGAATAGCTTGGATAGCGTCTTTCGATCACATAAAATATAACCTTCAATATCGAGACTTTTTTTTGCACAGCTGTAATAATTTTATCCAAATACAAGAGGGTGTGGGTTTGTTCCTCTCCAACTTTTTAAAATCAATTACACTGATCTGCAGCAAAGCTTAAGCTTTTCGTTAGTTATTCATAATAATATTATTACGTGTCACAGACAAACAAATTGTAGTGTCCCATTCCATTTGCCGAAAGATACTAACATAACAATAATCGAAGTGTGCACGTGAACTTTATGAAATGCATTATCTTGGTTATTACGAAAATAAAATGCGTGTTTGTGTAAAAAGGGGTCAAAATGTAACACTGGAGAGGATTTGTGTTCTACATGTGTGGAACAAAAAAATATTATCTGATTATCAAAGACCGGTTGTGAAAAATGTAAGGATACACATACATACCACCCCATGTTTCACACGGTCGGCAAACTATCATATTCTAGAGTAATACTCTTGACATGTTAGTAGAATTCGAAATTGTATAGTTTATACAAAACAATATAAATGTACTATTTTGATGTTAATGGGATGCAAGTTAACTTTGTCTTTTCATTTCTTACTATAGTGTGTGATAACATTTTGTAAGGGAATTCGATGTTTGCTATATCACTGTTCATTTCAAAAAAGTTGATGACAATATCACTATACCAATCAGAATGAAAATTTTTGCAGTGTTTTAAGAAACGATTTTACATTGTATCCAAGTATTATTTGTGAAACATTAAATGTTTTAAAACGGCGAATTTTCTGTATAAAGTCAATAATTATGTAAACTTCTGAAGCCTAAACTTGCTATTGCCTTAAATACGTAAATGAAAGATCCGAAAACTATACCAATACAGAACGACAGTCATGTTTTTGAAATTATAGCAAAACATTTGGTTGACAAATTTTTATTCGTTATTGCAAAAAAATAACTTAAAATATCTGTCATTTTTCCATACCCAGTTTACCCCTATTACCTATTATGATGTGGACTGCTCATTGTTATTGAATCTCACGCAATTTGATTGGATTAAGTTATTATTAGTTAACCTTCAAACTGTTTATACTTTTCATACATGTATATTGAATAAATCAGAACGTGCATGAATGTGTAAAGTAACTTAAATAACCATCAAACTTGACACTGGACGAGTCCATATTATGTTTTATGTCAATGAAACTAAAGGTAAGAAAGGTAACAATTGCCACTGCTTATATTTTCACAAAAATTTCAACATACACAGTAGATAAATTATTTTTTAATAGCCTATTGCGGAGAAAAAAGAGAAAGTTTACAAATAAGACGTCTTATTCCTTTAAAAAGTCATTTGTCGAAGAGAAATATCGAAATACATTTTTCGCACTGCTACGCCAGGTAAAATTATTGTTTATCTTAACAACAAAAAAAACAACACATTTTTCAGTCTCATTGGAATGTTATAATTACAATTAATCCCAAACTAAAGAAGTCAGTAAATAAAGTCAAAATATGTCCGGTCTCCCTATTTTTGGACATCAAAAGTCAATACGATCGTTTTAAGGTCAATTTCGTCTACCTAAAAAATCTTGTTAGGCACTATACAATGAAACCTACTGTTAGAATAGATCTTTGTAGAATAATTGCCAGCATCTTTTCTTTTAAAATAGATGCATAATTGATAATTGATATGATTTAAACATGTAAAAAAGCATTTTCATTTAAAACTGACAGCACTCGTTATGCCTGTTGGTGGTTATCTTGTAAAACGAATTTTATTGCTATGTCGTGGTAAATAAGAAACAAGTTACAATCTAATAATCAGTTGAAAAATAATGCTTCTTTTCTATTAAAAATCAAGTATATTGAATCCGGAAAAATCATACCGAAACTTCAACTATCCCAAAATGAAACCCAGAATGCTTAGGCTATATTACTCATAAAATTAATAAATTGAAAAGGGGAATGTGTCAAAGAGACAATAACCCGACCAAAGAGCAGAAAACAGCCCAAGGCCAGGTGTACTGCATACATACTGCATACATGTATGAAGTCTCATATTTACAAAAAGTTTAGAAATACTGATTATAGTTTAAGGTAAAGAGCCATAGTTCTTCCCGTTCTAATTCACACTCGAAAATGGAATCATTATCAAAAATAAAATATTCGCCCTTAAAAAAAATTAGAGCTGATGTTATAAAATTCTAAAATTTGAGACAAAAGACTGGTACATACATCGAATTAAACAAAAATACAATGAAGTTATTATGATATTGTAATTATGATATTTGTTTATCTTGGCCTAATTTGTTTTGTATGGCCTTATAACATGTATAATTTGTTTACATAATATTTATAGTGGTTTACCAAATAATGGTATAATTGTGCAGTTTAGAATCACTAGAACAATCATAGATACTGATGGAATGGTTACAGTTTTCTATTTGACTTACTTAATAATTCTGGAATGATCATAATCGACGATGTGTAATTTAAACTTCTACCGTATTCTAGGAGTTTCCCTTCTACAGTGTTCTAGAGATTTCCGTGACAACTATATATATACAGACACTAAAGTTAGACTTTCAGATTAGACATTAATAAACTTGTATTCCCGAATGTTCTCTCAGTTGGATTGACACTTTTATTTACGTTAACTACATCATACTAGATTGTGACTTATTGGACATAATATTCTGTTTTGATTCCCGCAACAGTGAAGAGAACAATTCCGGATAAAGAAAAGACAAAAGGATCGGACATATATGTTTTAAACGTTAAGTTAACATTTCAATTTATATGATATTTGTAAACTTGTATGTAATAAATCTTGTTAAATTTGATTATAGATTTGTGTCTTTTGTTGGCTACAATTTATAGGTGATTTGTGGCCGTAACAGAAATAAGGGACTCGTCCGGGATTACGTTAATATTAGAGTAAAATTTTTTCCCTGTATTTTATTGAATTAGAATTAGCCAACAAAATTCTACAAAATGGCATTTGATGCCTATAAATTTATAAAAACGCCAGACCTGAAAGGGTTTGATAAACTAAAGAAAGAAGAATTAGTGTTGCTTGCTAAACATCTACAAATAGATTTTAGAGTGTCTATGAGAAAACAAAAATTATAAAAAATTGGTAATAGACAAATAGTTTATGCAGAAATTTTTGGTGAAGTGGCTCTTGAACTTAAGGTCGAAAATGTTGATGCTATCAAATTAAAACAGCTCGAGTTAGAACATGGATTTAGATTAATACAATTAGAAAAGGAAGATGAATTGAAATTAAACAATTAGAAAAGGAAGATGAATTTAAATTTTAACAATTGGAAAAAGAAAAAGAAGAAAGACAGGTAGAGCTTGAAATGAGGGAAGGTTAGAGATGGAGAAAATAAAAATTGAAATGGTTAAAGTAGAAAGCAACACTAAAGTAGAGTCATAATCAGAACATTTTTATATTGATGCAGCTAAAAATATACGTTTGGTTCCCAGATATTGTGAAAAAACAGTTGATGAATTTGTTTCCACAGTTTGAGAAAATTGCTCAAAATTTGAAATGGCCAAAGCCTTATTGGACTACAATGCTGCAAATTGTTTTTGAGGGCAAGGCCGCTGAAATTTAATCAGCACTTTCATCAGAAAAAAGTTCTGATTATGACACAGGAAGTTTTGAAAGCGTATGAGCTAGTGCCAGAAGCATATAGACAGAAATGTTGGTCTTAAAAAAAGATAAAGTCACAAACCTATGTTGAATTTGCTAGGGAAAAAGAAGATCTATCTGATAAATGGCTTAAGTATGGCATGGTATTGGTTGCAAAAATTTGATATTTTTCATTTAAATGCAAAATTTTTTATTTAATTGGTATATTTCTTCATTTAAATGCAATATTTTTTATTTAATTGGTATATTTCTTCATTCAAATGCAATAATTTTTTATTTGAAAGGTATATTTTTTCATTTAAATGCAATATTTTTTATTCAAATGGTATAATTTGTCATTCAAATGGTATAATTTGTCATTCAAATGCAATATTTTTTATCCAATTGGTATAATTTGTCATTCAATTGCAATATTGTTTATTCAATTGGTAAAACTTGTCATTTAAATGCAATATTTTTTATTCAATTTGTATATTTCTTCATTTAAATGCAATATTTTTTTATTTGAATGGTATATTTTTTCATTTAAATGCAATATTTTTTATTTAAATGGTATAATTTGTCATTCAAATGCAATATTTTTTATTCAATTGGTATAGTAGTTTTTTATTTATATGCAAAAATTGCATTATGGGAAATTCTTTGACGTCTTAAGGTCAAATTTGCAACAACGTCTCTGATTGGTCGGTTATCGTTTGGATTTCCCCCTTTCTTTCTAAACACGAGTGACCAAGAATTAAAAAAACGCGTCGGAATATCGCCCCTCTAACTAAATTTGGCGTTCGTGCGAGTTCGTGCACTGGCTGTTAATAGCTAGCCCCCCCCTCTAAGTCCAGATACATGTAATCATGACGTTCTCTGATGCTATATCATTTTCTTCTTTTCTTGATCCTCAGACACGTTGCAGGAAAGCAAACATAAAAAAGAGTAAAAAGCCTTCCAGAATGTTATAATTATTTGGACTAAGCCCCATCTTTTTTGATTCATGTAGAAAAAAAAATCACCTAATTACGACAGCAGAACCAGAGACCCACAAGAAGAGACCTAAGCTGTGATACTCCGGAACTAATTCTTTAATAAAGACAATTCGGGATAAATTGGAACCAGTTACTAACCCATGTTACAACAATAGTCCTATGACATAGGACGTACACTGTATAAGGCGTGAACT